CTGCTCGACCAGCAAAAGGCTTTTGATAGGGTCAACCATGACTTTATCCAATTAGTTTTAGAAAGAATGAACTTTAGTAATAAGTTTATTAACATTGTTAGGTCCTTATTTTCTACGCAGAAAGCTCATATAACAGATTCAGGGTTCATCTCAGAACCATTCAGAGTAGAAAGAGAAGTCAAACAGGGAGATCCTCTCTCTCCTCTTCTCTATATACTAGCTATAAACCCTTTAATTCAATCAATCAATTTAAACATCAGAGGCATCCCTGTCAACAACTCAGCCTTTAAAATTGCAGCGTATGCCAATGATCTTTCAATAGGAGTTGGCTCACCTCAAGACTGGTTAGTGCTATTTAATATACTTACAAAATATGAAAAAGCCTCCAACGCTATTGTCAACAAAACCAAATCTACCTTGATTCCCTTAACAGACAATGCAAGAAGAATCGAACTACCAGACCAATCTGAGTTTAAACTCTTAAATGATAGCTAAAATACATTTACAGTGCTAGGCTACGACATTGATACAAAGGGCCAACCAGATAAATCTCTCTGAGTTAATATGATAAAGAAAATTAAAAACAAGATATAGGACCTTTCTCTCAGAAATCTTTCATTTAAGGGAAAGATCCTAGCCGCCAAGACTTTACTAATCTCAAAAATCTGATATTTGGCCTACTTACTCCCACCAACAAGAAAACAATTAAACGAAATTAACAAATTAATAACAAACTGGATCAAAAAAAACTCAAGAATGCTGTCACAATATTCAATCTTTCAGTTAAGCTATGAACAAGGAGGCCTATCCACCCCTATTCTTAAAGATATGTTAGATGCTAGATTACTATCAATCTGGCTTAAACTCCTCTCAAGCAACTCATTTTGGGCCATAACAGAAAGAAGAAATGCAACACTAGACCTTTATAACAAAAGAAAACTAACACCCAATGAAGCCCTATCTCAATCCCCTTGCAGAACTAAAGGTTGGGCCGAAAACTGGAAACCCTATGTCACGGCTTGGGGCAGATTTAAAGGCAAAATCGAGTCAGATCACACCTGGCCATGGCCATTAGAACAAATCAAAATCGATAATATAGATGGACAACAGTTTACTGTCAAAAAGGTTCTTGAAAACCTATATAAGCAACCGTTTCAGTAACTAACCATCCACCTAACAACCAAGATTTTGTTAACTACAAATACAACCCATACAAATGGCTCAAAACAAAATGGGTTCTAAACAAAAAAAGGATATCTTCTGGTGCCTAACTCACAGGGCACTCCCGCTAGGTTACCGACTAATTCATATTGACCAACAGAATTTGGACGATTGTCCTAATTGCCTATATATTACACAAACAATAGAACACTTTGCTCTTAAGTGCTCACTAAGTAAAATAATATGGGAAACCACGTACAAAATATTCAGAAGACCTGAAAGTGAAACCATTCCAGTTACTCTGAAAGATATACTTCAAGCTACGAATATTAAAAACCCTAAGAAAAAGGAGGCAGCACTGTGGCTTCATATAACAGCACTATATGAAATATAGTGCTGGTATATTCAAGCTAGATGGGGAGGTACAACAATTCCTCAAGAAGCTATAGCTAATATAGTCAGAATATGTCTTAAACATGAGTTCAACCTATTATACAGATTAGCAAATCTAAACATAAACTCTAGGCCCAATAGGGCCAAAAATATAATTAATTTTATTAGATCTCCAATGTAAATATATTATGTAATACAAATAAAGTACGCTTAAATGTAGTTTTTTTTTTAAAAAAAAAATATATATATATATATATATATATAAGATTAATTTTTTTTTGTAAAAAAAAAACCAAGTTTTCTTACATTGCAAAACTATCAAAACACAAATGAATTAACTAATACTTTGTTAAAATTATTAAAGCCTAAAACAGTATATAATATATACAATTTAGTCCAAATTAAAAAAAAACCTATAAATCTATATAATCGATATTCTCTTGGTTCTTTTGTATGAAAGAAGCCAATTTACTTCAGAAAACTCATTTATAAGATTTAAACTTTTTACAGACATAATTGGCAAATTTTTATGGTAGCTTTTCACAATACAAATTCATAAATTACTAGAACTTTCAAGCAAATTTCTTGATTGTAATAATGTTAATAGAATCAAGTGCTTGTGAAATAGTTTTTTATAAACTAGCTCATAAGTAATTACAGTAATTTCTTGTATAGAATTTAGTCGCACTCCAATACATTTTGATGAAACTAAGTTTACAGTAATATTTTGAATAAAAAATACACAAGTGGCTAACATTTTCTAACATTTTTATAATAGCTGACTTTTATACAAAAAAGTCTGGTTATAAAGCTATAGAGCAGTGTTATTTATCACCTGTTTTTTTTATTAGAAGCTTATTCCTCTCCCCCTCTTATTATATATTTGATCAGGTCTTTATATATAATTTTAAATTTTTATCCTCCTCTCCTCTAAAAAATTACCTAATTTTTGTTACATTCCTAATCCTTTTTGCATAACAATTTATATACAAATGATTATTCACTAATTTCTTATCTTTATTACCTTATATTCTAAATGCAAATTCTAAAAACCTCTTTCTTTTAATACTAATCTTAGTCTTTTTAGCTTTCTTCACATAATAGAATCCTTATAATCTTCTTTAAAACCTATATACTACATTCTTTCATTTCTATCAAAGTCAAAAAAAGTTGTTGATCACATTACTAGTTGGTTTTCTTCAGGTTCTAAATTTATTCTTAATGCAACAAAAGTATCCTTTGTATATACTGCATAGTTAATACTGTTATCAAAGTGAAGATAGTAGTTGTATTAAGAAATATCATAGCTGATGCTAAATTTGGCTGATGTTTAATATCACATGATTATTTAGACTGAAAACTGCAAATCACAAGTCAATCAGCAAACATTCAGTTTGTTTATAACAAAAATCTTCATAGAAACCAATTTTTAATATTCTAACAAAAAATTTTCTAAACCAATTTTGCTATTATATCAACTAATATCTAACCATATTGTAAACACTAACTCTAACTAAAATAAAGTACAAAGTATTGCCATCCTACATAACTACTTTGCAGAAACCTGAGATTTTTAATAATGCAATTTATTATTATATTATTTTTATATAATTTTTATATTATTATTTTAAAGTTAAAAATTATTACAATACAAATACAATAAAATTATAATATGAATAATTATAATTAATACTAGGGGCTATTAATATCCTACCCTAAGTTAGCCAATTAAATTAATATAACACAACGTAATACGACTTATTAACATAATACGATTTAATGTAAAACAACATATGAATATAACATGTGATCGGTACATTGCACAAAATATCAAATTATCGGCTTGTAATAGCAAACCCAGCTTTGGACTTGCACATACATATAAACGAAAACATGTACGACCACAACGCTTTTTTTAAATCAGTAATTATATTAGAGTTAGTAACACAAATTGTTAATATGAACATATCGTACGTATTATGATTGAATAATAAAACTTTTGAATGAAGTAATTCTTTCTAAATAACCCCTAACCTGAAAAATCAACATTAGTAGCACTCACCCTAACCCTAACTCTTAAAGGAATACGATTTTTAAGCCACATCATTTATACTAAACCCCTCTAACCTGAAAAAATAAATATGAATAGCACTCACCCTAACCCTAACTCTTAAAAAAGGACACTTTGAAATGTTCATTTATATTTGTAGTTTACTATTCGGCACAGCTAACATAAAATAACATCGATTTACATGTAACTAATAAGTACTATACATTGCAATTAATACCTATGCTTAACTTTCATTGAAACTGCTAGATAAAAGTTAGTATTTTACATGCAAATATAACATTTACGTATGACTGTATATATGATAACAAAACAAGCGTTCAAACGATCAATGCACAAATAAATTCATAATCACATAACTACATCAAATAGCAAATTGTAATGCCCACTACTCTGTTTAGTACGTATGCTTGACCTTATTCGGTCATTTTTTTTAAAGGACAATTTCGAGAATCATGATATCATGACTTACACATAGCACATTGCCGCTTGTTTTTTTTCATTGATCCTGATTCTAATGTTTCATCATCTTGATGGTTCGAGCCAACGTTCCTGATATCATGATTCTCATTAGCAGATAAATATCTTTTGTTTGCAGGACGGCCCTTACCCTTATGTTGAAGTGGGTCTGAAATTTTAAGATCATTGGTCCTTTGATCTAATTCTTGCACAGATGGTTCGTATGTGTTTTGACATTGTGATAAAATCTGTTCATCAATAAATCGTTGCAAGAGATTTTCCAAAGCCTTATTAGAATCATTCGTAATTGCTATGTTGAGAGCCTTTTTACAAAGCCCCAAACCACAACCATAAGAAACTTTTTTCGATTCTAATTCCACAGCAACTCTACTATTAACTTCTTGACCGCGAATCCTTTCTAATACCTGAAATGTTCCAGTAGGTGGTTTATTTTCATTTTGTATTATCTGAATCGAAGATTCTTGATCATTATCAAACATTGCAAGACCTTCTTCAGAAAACCAACGTGAAGGTATCAACCTCATATTGAAGAATGCTTTTTTGGACTGAATCATCACAGCAAAAAAATGCCGACATACAAATCCAGCATAGACTAGATAGAGACACGTGCAATAGTGTGTACCATCGTCAAGTAATAAAATAAATTGCGAATGATTTGTTGTGCTTTGAATATGTTTAACCTCCCATATTTCATTGACATTACTTTCAGCACAATCCTCTAAAGCCATATCTAATAATACCTGTGGCTCCTCATAATCATCTTCTATGAATCCTACGTTATAGTTTGATTCCTAATCAAATATTGTATATGATCTTCAGTAATAACATAACAAGTAATTAAAGATGCGATCCGTTATCAGTTTTCAGCCCAAATTGTTAATTTGGGCCAAAAGCAGATAACGAAGCGCATCTTTATCAAGTAACAAATACGTAAAATTAGAAATATGATAGAAGCACTTGCCTGATTCATATCATTGTTAAGTTTATTAGATTGTAATAAAACTCTGTATAAAAGACTTTCCAGCATTTGCTTGCGCTGTAAAGCTAATGAATTTGGCGTAAGGTATTTCTTACACATGTCATCAATGCTTTTAAAAATTGTATTGGAAACATGAGGAAGACCTCTTGTTGGGTTCATATTTCGAAATTCCTGTAGACTTGCATATTTTGCTTCGTCTTTTAACCGTAATTCAATTCCGGCTTGAAGCTGACATAAGGAATTTCCAGAATTTGCCTCTAATTTTATAACAGGGTTTATACTTTCGACCCGCTGTGTTGAATGTGTATTAGCTGAGAACTTCCGTTTTGTAAATGCATACGCCCAGCACTCTTTGGTTGGATATAATACTCGATCACAGTATCCTTGAATCTCAGGGTATTTATTCATTAGCTCCATCCAATGACGATCGAAATCAGCTATTACTAGTGAATTTCAAAGCGCATAAAATTCAGAAATAAACCCTTCCCATTTATTGTGAAGCCTTATTAGTAATAATGAAAAAGTTTTGAATTATTAAATGTTATAAAATAGCTACGCCTTCCGGCGTTCCTCTTTATGAGGGTTTTCAAAAAACAAAAAAAAAAAAATGTTATAGAATAAAAAAAAAAGAAAAAAACCTTCTCTTAACTTTTTTGACCAAATTTTGCCGAATGTGGAATGCACAATGTCGAACGATAGTACTAGGATATTTATTAGATAAAGCTACCTGCATAGCTGGGTCTGCATCTGTAAAAATAGTCGTTGGTTGAACATTGCCAGTAGCTAATTTTGTCTGTTCTAAAATCCATTCATATGTTGGCACGGTCTCGTCACAGACTACAGCTGTCGCTACAATGCGGCTTCGTTGATTTGAATCGATTACTATGAAGATGCTTAGAGGCATCATATATTTGTTCGTTTTACATGTGTTGTCATTAATAACAACATCATGGAATCAAGCCCAAAGACTTTTTTGTTCAGGTGACATCCAAAAGACCTTAGAAAGCCTATTGTCTATACCCTCGAAGTCGATCTTGAAATTCCAATCAGGGTTGTCTTGTTGTAACTTTAGAAGATATTCGTACAAGGTTATGGCATCATTTTTGGTTTGGGCGTCAGTTCTAAACTTGCTTATCATGTTATAAAGGTCTCGATTGTAAATTTCTTGATCGGGAAATTTATTTCTTAATATTCGCTTTAAAATATTTGCACCCAACTGGCATTCCTGGACATAAAACCGAACCTCATCCCTTATTTGTGTAGGTATTTTTCGTAACGATGGAGAGAATTGTTGAAGTAATTTGCTATTATTTAAAGTATGTTTGTGTTCCTCAATAAATTTGTTGACAAAAACTAGATTTGAGCGTTTCCGATTGGATGCATTTAATACAAAGCTGCAATCTACACAAGCCGATTCCCGCTCTCGATTTTTTGTAGGGTCCAACACCTTCTTAGGCAAGTATTTACCTCCATGTCGACATTTATATGTTTTTCGTACACAAATGTCGTTTTCTTTTTCAACTCGCACTATCTTAGTTTCAAAACCAATCCGAATCGAATAATGTTTTAGACATTGCTCAAGTACTTCAAATGAAGTGAAAGTCTGATCCGTATATATCTCTTTTAGGGAACTATCTTCAAGCTCATTTTCAGAATCACCATCTTCGAACACGTCAGTTTCATTGGTATCGTCAATTATAGGTAAGTTGCTGGTAACATATTCGTCAGAAGGTAAAGCAAGATCAATATCGCTTTCAGGATCAAAGTGAGAATAAATTTCGTAATTCATATGATACTCTTCAGAGCTTTGAGAACTTCGAATTTCAGACATCTAAAAAAAAAAGGAAAAAAAAAGGAACGGTTAGTAAAAAAAAAAAATTTAGAATGAAACAAGCGAAACAAAATTTTATTGTAAAGTTAACTAGTAAGTTTCAAAAAAAGCGAACGAAAAAACGTGTTAAACCTAAATAAAAAAAAACAGTGACTTAATAAAAAGTTGTTCAGAAAAATACATGTCAAGCTAATAAGTTTGTAAAAAAAATACATACCAAGGCTAATAAGTTTGTAAACATGAAGAAGCACCAAGGAAAGATGTGAAGAGTCTGAAGGAATAGAAAAATTAAAAAAAAATTTTACGCATTACACATGAATTATATTAACGTCACGCTAACTATATCTCTAGCTAAATATATACTCACTTGTTTGACTAAGTTCTTGTTTCTGCGTTTACTTTTTTTCGCTTGCTGTTTCTTTCCCGCATTCGTTTATTTTCCTGTATTCACTTTTTCCTTTTAGGTATTTGTTTACCTTGCACGATGTAAGTAGAAGTTCGATTATTTAACGATCGATCACTGTATTTATTTATTTACCGATCACTCTTTATATCAGTTAAAGTATTACTGTAATTACTCTGTCATTGTTATAATATATCCGTGTAACTATTTATACATGTGATACAAAGGGGAGGATATTAATAACCCCTAGTAAAAAGATTATTTATACTTATAATATAATATCATTTAATATATTAAAATTATATTGTAAATATATTATAATAATATTTTAATTTTTTTTATTTTTATTTTTTTATTTTTATTTTTTTTTTTACCTTCGCAGTATTGCGAGAAGGCAGATTTTATTAGGTATTTAGATAATACATTCTTGGTTACCCTATCCTGTACCATCCACCACAATCAC